ACTTTCACCACATGGCTGAGTAGGACTATGCAAATGTAAGCTGTTTGTGGCTCACTAAAGGGACTGAAGAGTTTGCTAATAGTCAAGGTAAATGGTACCTTTTGCGTTGCTGGGTGGTGTTGAGTCATCTGAATCTTGCCCTCTCCTGCATCATCCTCCCCATCTCTGATATGCTTAAGCCCATGGTTACAGTTACTGTGCCAATCCATCTTGTTCAGGATCTTTTTCTCTCATTCTGACCCTCTATCTTTCCCAGCATAATATTTTCTCCCAAGGACTGGTCCCTACTGACATCATGACCAAAATATGTGAGACAAAGTTTCATCATTCTTGCCTCTAAGGAGCAGCCTGGTTACACTTCCTCCAACACAAACTTGTTTGTTATCTTGGTAGTCCATAGGATTTTCAAGACTCTTCTCCAACACCACAACTCAAAGGCACCGATTAGTCTTCTGTCAGCTTTATTTATTGTCCAACTTTCAGATGCATAGGAAACCACTGAAAATAGTATGGCTTGGATCAGGTGTCCCTTAGTCTTCAACTGAAATCATTGTTCTTTAGCACTTTGGAGAGGTCCTTGACAGCAGTTCTTCCTAATGCAACACATCTTTTGATTTCTTAACTGCTGTTTTAATAGGTATTGATTGTAAATCCAAGTAAAAAGATATGGTGACAAATCCAACCTTTTCACTATATATCATGATCTTGACTATTGGTTAAGTAGTGATGATTTTTGTTTTCTTGTTGCTGAGATGTAATCCATATTGAAGACTGTAGATTTTGACCTTCTTAGCAAGTGTTTCAAATTTTCTTCACTTTCTGAACAACGTTGTGTGTTCTGTATAACACAGGTTCCTCCAATCCTTATGACAATCTTCTTCAAAAAGTAAAGTTTTTAGAATTATTTGTTCAGCATACAGATTGAATGTGTATGTTGTTGTTATGTGCCATGGCGTTGTGCCATGGAGTTGTCTGCAACTCATAGCAACCCTATGTACATTAGCTCTGAAACCTGCCCTATCCTGAATCAATCTCATCATCTCTGACAGACTTAGTCCTGTTGCTCCAGTCACTGAGTCAATCCATCTCATCCTAGTCTTCCTCTCCTCTTGTCCCTCCATCCTTCCAAGCATGATGTCCCTCTCTAAGGACTGGTTTCTCCTGACCACGTGCCTAAAGTGTGAGATGGAGCCTCAAAATCCTTGCCTCCATGGAGCAGCCTGGTTTCACCCTTTCCCGGACCATCAAAACGGAGTATGACTCATAGCAACCCCTACAGGTCTAAACCCTGTCTTATCCTGCTCCATTTTCACAATCTCAAGCCCATTGTTGCAGTCACTGTGTCAGTCTACCTGGTTGAGGGTCTTCCCAAACATGATGTCCCTTTCCAAGGAATAGCCTCTCTTAGAAAAATGCTCAAAGTATGAGACAAAACTTTATCATCTTTGCCTCCAAGGAGCACTCTGGCTTCACCTTCTCCAAGACATATCTATTTGTTCTTTTGGCAGGCAATGGCATATTCTGTACTCTTCTCCAACACATGTATGGAGAATGGAAATAACCCTGACACACCCCTTTCCTAATTTAAAGCCCTGCAATGTTCCCTTGTTCTGTTCAGACAACTGTTTTTCAGTCTATGTATAGGTTAAACATGATTACAATGAATTGTTCTGGAATTCCCATTCTTCTTAATGTTATTCATAATTTGTTATGATCTACACAGTCAAATGCATGTGCATAGACAATAAAACACAAGTAAACATTTTTCTGGTAGTCTCTATTTTCAGCCAACATTCACTTGACATCAGCAATGATCCCTCATGCCATGACCTCTTCTGAATCCAGCTTGAATATCTTGCAGAGTTTCCTATTGGTGTATAGTTTTGATGATGTACTATTGATATCCCACCTTTTGGGTTGGTTGGTTCTTTCAAATAAAATATGCACATCACTAATGTGGAAATTGGTCAGTTTTTCCATAGCACCAGGATCAACTGAGCTGTTCCAGAGTGAGAAAACTGGGATATTGGTATCATCCTTTTGAACCTTGACGAAACTAGTTTCTAAAAGTCACTTTTAAGATAGACAATGATCTAGATAAACTACTAAAAATAATTTTACCTTAAATATTGTGATCTTTTGAGGAATTATCTATGTGTAATAAATAGTCTGACAGTCAGCTATGAGTTGGTTTCAACTAGATGGCAATGGGTTTGAGTTTTGAATGAGTCTATTCTGAGGAGAGATGTGGTGGTGGTGTAGTCTGTAGGCAGTTGCCCTGCTAACCCAAAGACTGGATCTCTCTGGAAGTTAAAATCCACCAGCAGATTCTTGGGAAAAAGAAAGGCAATATGCTTCCATGTGTTTTATAGCCTCAGAAACTTGACTTTAAAAGAAGGTCAGACTAGAGCTACATTTTAGAGTAAATCAAAGTTATTTTAATTGTTCTTCAAGACAATACTGTATGAAGTCCTTCCTGACCACCAATTGTTTGATCAGTTTTTTTTACATTTTAAAAAAAAATTAATTTTAATGAAGGTTTACAGAGACTTAGGGTTTCCAGTCATTCATTGTTGCATTTTTCTCCCTTCCCACCCTCTCCCCCCAATTCACTCTTCTCCTTGAAAATAAAAAGAAAAACGCTTTCATTGTTATGCAATCCCTCCCCCCAAGTCCACTCCACTATGCAGCCTTCATTCTGGACTTCTGTAACGACAAGAATACCCGTTCATATATCCCTTTTAAACAGTTCTCTCCCTCATCTGTTTCAACACAATATACATCATTCCTCCCCTCCTTCTCTGTCTTCCCTTAACCCTGATGTCAGTCTCATTTTACAACAGTGGCCCTATGCAATATTTGTCCTTTTGTAACTGAGATATTTCACTCAGCATAATGTCCTCCAGGGTCATCCACTTTGCATAATATTTCCTGAGTTCCTTGTTTTTCAGTGCTGCATAGTATTCAATTGTGTGAATATACCAGAGCTTCTCTATTCATTCCTTTGTTGATGGGCACTTGGGTTGTTGCCGGTCAGGTTGTGGAGAAACCAGAACCCTTATTCACTGTTGGTGGGAGTGTAAAATGGTGCAACCACTATGGAAGGCTGTATGGTACTTTCTCAAAAAGTTGCAAATAGAAATACCATTTACTCAGCAATTCCACTACTGGAAATTTACCCTAAAGAAACCATAACTGCCATCAAAGCAGATATATCTACACCCATGTTTATTGCAGCTTTGTTCACAATAGCAAAGAGCTGGAAACAACCCAAGTCCCATCAACAAACGAATGTTTTATCAGATTTGTTTCAGTCTTTCTTTCATAGCAATGTTAGTAAAATATGTATATAAGACATAAGTATAAGCATTTTAGAAGTTCTCATCTTCAGAATAGTTTTGACTCACTAGTTGGTGCTCTGGTGGCCTAGGGGCAAGAAGCTGTGCTGCAATCCCAAAGGCATATGTTTCGAGGCCACTAGCTGCTCCTCAGAAGAAGGATGGGCACTCTCCTCCCGTGAGATTAACTGCCTCTGAAAACCTGCTGGAGGGTCAGTTATCGATTCTGACTTGATGGTACACAAAAATCAACAACAAGTTGGCACAGGACCGGACAAGTTTCAGATCTGTTGTTTACAGGGTTGCTACAAATGGAAGTTGACTCAATGTCACCTAACAATAACATTTGAGATGTTGGAGGTCTGATGGTGTAATCCGTAGCCAGTTGTGCTGTTTCCCAAACGGCTGCTTGTCTTCAGCAGTTAGAATCTATCAGCCATTCCAAGGGAGGGAAAGATGGACAGTCTCCTTCCAGTAAAATTTACAGCCTCAGAAACTTGGTGAAATGTCTCTATAAATTAGTATTGACTCAAAGGCAATGAGTTGAGAGAGGAAATGCTGTCTGTTTAGCAAATCCTATATTAAATAAGAGTCAATCAACTTTTATAATTGGCTTAATGTGATTTTTGCTTTGACAGTCCTTTTAAACACAGCGGGAGGCGATCCTGTCTCTTTTCTTCTGTTTCCTCAGGGGCTTTTCAACCAATAACCCTCACTGCCTGGAGTTCTGTAGCAAGCCTTCCTTCAGTTCCAAGCTTTCAAGCACAAAAGTGAAGTTGGAGCAAGCTTCAGAAAACAGGCTATGAGGTGAGGACTAGAGAGAGTTTTGAGAGTGGGCAAGGAGCTCACAGGTTTGCAGAGTCACTACTTCTTTTTGATCAAGAGTCCAGATAATAAGCACTGGAGGAAGAAAAATGTACTTTGAAGGGTGGGAAGACTCTGTGGGGGTTGGCGCAGACAGGCTTTGGGCTGTCAGTTCAGTTATGTCCCTGCAGATTGAGAGGCAGAGAGGCCAAAGCAAATTTGGGGAAATCATATAACTCTTAATGATCCTTCCAGAACAGTGCGTACAAATGAGCTGGGAAGCTGGTTAAAAGGCCGTTTCCTCAAAGCCAGTTCCGTTGATTTTGATTCAGATGATCTAATGGAGAGTGGTCTCCATTTTTATTTTTAAATTCTAAGAGGAGGTCTTAGAGCTCAAATTTCAAGGGACTACTCATACGTCCCCAAGGCTGTAAGTTCCTTCTTTGGTCTAAAGAGAGACTCTCCTGCTGTGAAACTTGTTTCGTCTGGTCCTGCTCGGTTCTCTGAAGACATAACGCTCATCAGGGTTTGGCTTGAAACTTGATGAGGCAACAGTAACCATAGTAACCTAGGTGGGGTGTCTGGAGGCCAAGCATGAAGCCAGCAGTAAGATCCCTTGGGCCCACCCTAGTTCTTAACTAAAAATCTCAGCCAAGGTGAAGAGTGAGGCAAGCTGGGGCAGATCAGTAGATCTGAGCAATGGCCGCGTGGGAAGGGTCAGCAGGAAAGGTGAAGGTTCCAAGAAAGCTGCGCTCTGCAACCGCCGCCCTAGAGGGGCGGGGCCTGGCTGCAGAACGCGGGCTCCCGTTGCTATGGTAACGTGTCAACACCCAGCGGCTTGGTGGCTGCGGTGGCCTGGCGTTGCGGAAGCGGCAGAAGCCCCGAGTCAGGGCTTGTGGCTGAGATGGTGAGATTCGGGTGGTGGAAGAGAACCTCCAATGGGGCGTGCAATTAAGTGCCCTCCATTGGTTTGGGGTTCAGAGCAGCGAAAATCCGGTGGAGGCAGAAGTTAGGTGGGGGCGTCAGAAGGCCAAGGGTGGAGAGCACACCCCTTGAAGAAATTAGGGAAGTCATGAAAGGAGTCCACAAGAGGAATTGCATGTAGAAACGACAGGGATGTCAGTGTGGGGTGGTGCTGAGTAGGGAATTTGGGGAGAATAGACCTGGGCTGTCTGTGCGCTAAGGATTGTGGGGTCTGGCTGGAGAAAACATTGGCCAGAGGCAGATAATGTGTGGTCTCGGGCCATCACCTAATGCCCTGGAGCCTCAGTTTTCTTTTCTGTTGACTGAGTCAATTCATAGATTTTCAAAAAAACCTTGCAAAGGAGTGAATGAAGGTGGTATCAAATTTGCAAGGCCAGGGAGCAGGACTTGAGAATTGGCATTAGGACCTGTCTGCTAGACCTGGTTTCTTGGAGGTGGACCGTTTTCATGGTTCATAAGGATTGGATTCTGACTCGATGGTCAACAACAACAACAATATTAGGAGGGTTGAGAGGGCAACAGGCCTGGGAAAGAGATTTCTCCTGGGCTTGAGAATGCCGTTCCCATGGGTAGAGGATCAAGCGTTAGAGTCTGGGGCTGTTGGAAATAACCGTGGAATTTCTGAGGCACATCACTTGGCAAAGGTTGCGACTTGTGTGTCACTTGTGGACACATTCCAGAAATTACATTGGTTTGCTGGGAAATCCCAAGTAGAGATTTCAGAAAAGCATTGCTAATTATGAAATAGGAAGTTCTGGTGGCCTAATAGCAAGAAGTTGTGCTGCCTTCCTGAAGGTACAGGGTTTGAGGCCACCAGCTGCTTTGCAGGAGAAAGATGGGCAATCTCCTCCCATGTGATTAACTGCTGCAGAAAACCTGCCGGAGGGTCAGCTGGGGGTGACTTCTGACTCTATGGTACACAGTAACAACAACGACAACAGTTACAAAGTAAGTCCCTAGCAAAAAAGCAGTTCTCAACTCTTGAGGACTCCCTGCAGTGCTAAGGCAGCAGCAGGAGGAGCTCCCTCTGGATTTTGAGGCATTGTCCTTAGTGGTATGTATGTATGAGAGCCTCGCCCCATGCCTGGCACCCAAAGGCACATGGTTGAGTGCCAGCTCCCATTTTCTCAGGTTTTAAAATCTTTATATTCCTTTGTTATTGTTGTCGGTTGCTATCAAATCAATTCTGACTCCTGGCGACCTTAAATGTACAAAGTGGAAATGCTCTATAGAGTTTTCAAGGCTGTGGCCTGTTGGAAGCAGATCACCGGGTCTTACTTTCAGGGTGTCTATCTATGAATAGGCTTGAACAATGAGCATATTGGTTAGGTGTTTAGCACTTGCATTATTCAAGAACTTTTTCATATTCCCAAGCCAGTGAGCTCTTTTCTGCCCTATGTTCTGCAAAGCTCCCAGATCAGAGAGTCTCCATTTAAGGTCACTCAGAACAGAGGTTGGGTGGCTGAGCAAACCCTTCTGAAATATCAACCGTTTCTGAAAAACAGAAATAGGTGTTAGGATACCTTTGAGAAGTAGTAGGTCAAATTAGTAATCTCTCACTTCTGGAAAGGAACCTTGCTGGCACAGTGGTGTGGTTAAGAACCCAGTAGCAAACAGAAAGGTTGGTGGTTTGAACCCTCCAGCTGCTCTTTAGGAGGGGGATTTCACAGTTTGCTTCTATCAGTTACAGTCTTGGAAACCCCAGGAGTAGTTCTTCCCTGTCCGAGAAAACCCCAAACCTAACCCACTGCTATCCAGTTGAATATCCAGTTGAATGTGACTCGTAGTGATCCTCCATCAGGTTTCTGAGGTCTTAGATTTTTCTGAGAGAAGACAAATGGCCATATCTTTCCCCTTAAGAGTAGCTGCTAGGCTTGAACTGACCACTTTTTGCTTAGGAGTCTGAAATGTTATACATTATGCCACCAAGCCTCATTAGACAACATCATGATAGATGGAGAAAATATTGACGTTGTCAATGACTTCATTTAACTTGGATCCACAACCAACAACCATGATAGCAACTGTTATCAAAAGACGTGTTGTGTTGGGGAAATCTGTCAGGGACCTCTCCAAAGTGCTAAACAGAAAGAATCTAAGTTTAAAGTCTAAATATGCTCCTGATCCAAGCCATGGATTTTTCAGTTGCTTCCTATGAATCTGAAAATTGGACAACGAATATGGACGGCAGAAAAAGAATAGATGCCTTTGAACTGTGGTGTTGGTGGAGAGTACTGAATATCCCATGCACTGCCAAAAGAACAAACAAATCTGTCTTGAAGAAAGTGCAACCAGGAGTGCATCTTAGAGGCAATGATGGTGAAACTTTGTCCCATTTACTTAGAGCATATTTTCAGGAGGAATCAGTCCTTAGAGATCATGCTGGGAAAGGTGAAGGAGGGTCAGAGAGAGAAGACCCTCAATGAGATGGATTGATACAATGACTACCAGAGTTGGCATAAATGTGACATATCATGAAGCTGGTGCGGGATAGGGCAATGTTCAGTTCTGTTGTTTAGAGGGTTGCTAGGAATCGAAGCCAACTTGAAGGCACCTAACAACAACAACAGCGGCTCACCAGATTGATGGCACCAGATTTTGGCTCTTCTGTCAGGTCAGGTGAGGTATATTTGTGTGCACACATGTGTGTTGGTTACAGGTTTTTGACAGTGTTTTGGAGGAAAGGGGGGAAGTGGAGTTAGGAGGGAGGCTCATGATAAGGCAGCCTGTTGGAACTTTAAAAAAATACAAATAACAACATACTTTAGAAAAAGGAATGGGGACCACAGTACTGAATAGAATGTCAAGTTCAGATGGTATCACCCAGTGGGTCATCCTAGTCTGAGGAGAGGAAAGCGTTAATTCAGAGTAAAAGTTAAGGTAGTGCCTGGGAATCCCCATCATCTCAGTAACCAAAGTTAGCCTAAGGAAGTTGAATCAGGCCAAGAGTTTGAAGCGTGAGTTTGCCAGCTTGCAGTGAACTTGCATGAGAAAGAGGAACCAGATCCTGGGGCAGAGAGGACATCTAGGAAAGGACATGTTTTTGTCTTTGTTCAGCTGACAGGTGTTGCAGTGACGTCAAGGAAACCCCACACCGATCTCCTCCCGCCCTGCTCCAGCTTTGTCTTGCTGGATTTGAGCTAAACTTCCTGGATCCTTGGATATACCTGCTGGCAGGGATCTATTTATTATAGGCAGAGTCAGGGCATCGGGCCCTCTGTTTTGTTGTTAAATAAAAAGAATTTCTTTCTTTTGTCAGAAAAATAGAAATTTATTGCAGAAAGTTATTCAATACAAGATATAAAATTCACCTGGTCAACATTTTTATAAATATTGTTTCAGCAATGCACTCTGGGTTGCATACTGTCCCTTTGAACATTTTAAAACACATATTTCTTATAATCTACTTTCTTGCAAGCTTAGTATGTTATGGAGCTTGTCCACTATCAGTCACTGTAAGTCTAAATCATCATCCTCTTACCAGCTAATCTCTCTTTTCCCCCAGTCTCACAGAGCCCTTAGCTGGGGCTAAAATCTTATGCCCCTAGGGTGGGATGATTTATGAAGGGAGATGAGCCAGCCAGTCCCCAAGATGAGCATATTGACGTTGGCCTGGCATCTTTGTCTGCCCTCAGTTCCCATCTTCCCCAATCCTCTTTGCCACCTTATTTACAAAAGCTAGTCTCTCTCCACTCTCTTCAAGATCGGTCACTCCCCAGCTACACTGAGGCACACTTTTCTTCAGGCACTGCCTGGCTTCTTGGGGAACATTTATTAGTTACACAAGAAATAAAAGCAGCCTGCAAGAAGCCCTGGGCTACTGTTTCTGGCTCAGAGGGATTTAACTTTATATTTCTGCTTAGTTCTTCTCCCTCTCCCAACCCTAATAGTTGTACATAATAACTGCCCTGATCCTTCTTGTTACTCTTGGCAAAACTGGTGATTCTAACCCTGATGTAAGACTTGTGGCTTTTCAGAGTCAGCATTTTCCAAATAAGGTTTCTTAGCCATCCAACCCTGGACATAGCACTTCTCTCTGCCCTGCCCAGTGGTCACCGCTTCTGTGGTCATCTGCTTCTCTTCCTCTGTTCTGACTTCAAGGTTCAGGCAGCCAAATATGTCTTGTTATGTCTTCCTCTTGACCTTGATACCAGGGGCACAGGAAGGAGCAGATGCAGCCCAGCCTTGGAGGAACGTGAGAGTGGTAGAGACCAATCGCAAGGAAAAAGCTGCAGGAACCCCAGGAAAGAAACAGGAAAACAAGTGTAGGACAATAATGTATTCCATCTGTATTTCAAAGCCTTTCCCAGATCTGTTCTCCACAGTACAGAGCAGATCTTTGACATGGAAAATGTGGCGGCGTGGTGCCCTGCGGGACCAGGCAAGGCTTTGGTCCCAATTTGAGCTGCAGCACTTTGAGAAGCCAGCTTCCTTGGTTTCATTCATTCTTTCCTTATCAAATGCGTATTGAGCTACATGTGTCAGGCACTGCCTTTCCCCTTAATTTCCCTTAATCCACAGAATTTATCCCATCTCTCACAATGGAACACTACCTTTTCAGTTATCCCAACGCTTTTCTTCAGTCCTGACTTTTTGGCGTCTGCTCATTTTCTCTTTATTTTCAGTGGGAAGGGGAGCAGTTGCTCACCACCCACCATATAATAACCCTGCTATTAGGCATCCTCAGGGCCACTATATTTACCTTCTAATGAAACCCAACTTTTCTGCCCTGCTGCATTGAGGATTGAGGAAGTAGAGAAGCTGTCTCTGGAAGTCACTTTTGCTGGCTGTGACAGGCAGGGAGGGAAAGGGCACACACAGCAGTGCTGATGACATGCAGCAGAGCCAGCTGGAGAATAATGTTCCAAGTTAGTGTGAAAATCTGACACAGGTGGGACAGGTGCTGGAGTGCCTGGTTGGAGAAATGACAGGTCACGGAGAGATATTTCAAAGCATTGTCCTTTGTGCAATCACGAGGATTGTTCATTTCTCAATCACTGTGTCCCCTGAATGGTTACTGATGGTCAGACATAGATGGAGTGTGTTTAGCCCAGGTAACCCTCACTGAGAGAGCTGGGGTCAACTCAGCTTCCTCCAAAGGGAGGTTTGCACCAGTTTGAGAGTGAGCCTGATATTATCCGGTTGTCTTTGCAGAAACTACCACCTGGAGACAGACTTCTGCTCTTGGGACTGAGATGATGCTGAACTCATCTTTGGGAATAGAGTTTGTGTTAGCCAGGATCCTTGGTTAGAAGTAACAGAGCCACCATCAACAAATGGCTAGAGAAGCTGTGGTATATTCACATAGTGGAATACTATGCTGCACTGAAAAACAAGGAACTAATGAAGTATTATACAAAATGAGTGACCCTGGAGGACATTATGCTGAGTGAAATATCTCAGTCACAAAAGGACAAATAGTGCAAGGTGTCACTGTTGTAAAACAGGGTTGGGGGGAACGTAAGAAAAGAGGGGATAAATAATGTATACTGTATTGAAACAGATGAGGGAGAGAACAGTTTAAAAGAAATATAAGATTAGGTATTTTCATGACAAGGTTACAGAAAAAGAAATGCATATTAAAGTGGACTGTGGACTGGGGGAATTATATAATAGTGAAAGAATTTTTTTTCTTCAAAGAGAAAAATGAACTGAGGGGAGGGGTGGGCAAGGAGGAAAATGTGGAACAATTAATGAATGGGGAAAAATTAAATGGAAAGAATAATGTTGTAAAAATATTTATGTTGCATTAAAAATCATTAATAAAAAAGAACTTTTTTTTTTTAAAAAAAAAGAAGTAACAGAGCCAGATTCCCATTTAAGTAGAAAGGAATGTGTTAAGAGGATGCTGGAGAGCTCACAGATTTGACACCATTGCTGGGAAACTACGTTTGGAAAATAGGCAGGATGTTGGGCAGCTGGAACCAATGCTAAAATCATAGCCTTAGAACTGTGCTGACATGGGTTTCTGTTGCACTGTTAAGCCTTCTACACTGCTAGCTTTGAACCTGGGATGACGATGCTGGTACCCTTACCAGCATTGCCCCAGACTCTGGTAAGGCAGATAATACCAGAAGGGTTTGGTTAATTTGTTGTTGTTGCTCTCTGTTTGTTGTTAGGTTTGGGCAGTCTGATTGGCTAAGGCTAGGCCCCTTGACCAATCTGGGAAGGCCTAGCCTTTTCAGCTTCTATAGTCAGAGACAAGCCCTATTTCCCACAACTCATAAGATGGGCTGTTGTTGAGATATAGGAAGAAACTGAGTGGCTAAGAAAATAACGAATATGTACAAAGGGGTCATGTAAAGGCCATACTGAGGACATAACTGGTTTGCCTGATTGTAGCTGTGATCATTCAGCATTATTCATCCACGGAAGTTTATTAGGGACCAACCATGTGCTACACTGCTTGTTCATCCTTAGCTCCTCTGGTCCTCACTGTGACTTGGATAGATTGTGGAGACAAGAAGGTGGTCAACTGGAAGTGCTATTTATGAAGGAAGCTTGGCGCTCAAGTGGAGAAGTTTAGAGGTGAAGAGAACACTATACATTTCTAGGTAGTTGCTGTTGTTATGTGCCGTCAAGACGCCTGTGACTCATAGCGACCCTATGTGCAAGAGCCCTAAACCCTGCTCTATCCTGTGCCAATCTCATTGTCTCTGACATGCTTACCTCCATTTCTCCAGTCACTAAATCAATCCATCTCGTCGAGGGTCTTCCTCTCCTGCGCTGTCCCTCCACCCTCCCAAGCAAGATGTCTTTCTCCAAGGATTGGTCCCTCCTTGTAACATGTCCAAAGTATGTCAGACGAAGCTTCAGAATCCTTGCATCCAAGGAGCAGCCTGGCTTCACCCTCTCCAGCAGTTCATAATATATTCATTACTCCAACACCACAGCTCAAAGACATAGGTTCTTCTATCATCCCTAGTCATTGTCCAGCTCTCTGATGCACAGCAAGTGATTGCAAAGACCATGGCGTGTATCAGAAGCACTTTAGTCTCCAGACTGACATCGTTGCTTTTCAGTACTTTAGAGAGAGGTCTCTAACTGCAGACTTTCCCATCACAATATGTCATTTAATTTCCTAGCTGCTGGTGCCAAGAGTGTAGAGCCAAGCAAACTAAAGCCCAAATTGCGTCACAAAAGGTTATCTTTGTAGGAAAATGGCGCCATGCAGGAAATGCCATTCTCATATACTTCATCCTTTCTTCTTCCTGCATAAGGAGCACCAGTGGTACCGTGGTTAAAGAATTCAACAGTAAAGATTTCTAACCTTGGAAACCCTGTGGGCAATTGTGCTGTGTCCTGCAGAGTTGTAATTGACTCGATAGCTTTTTTCCATGATGAACTTGTACTTCCTCAGCTGTTGAGATAATGTGCCTTACCACTCAAAAACTCTTCATCTATAGGAATGCAATCTGCCTGTTGTTTTTTTATACCCTCCCTCCTATAGTTCAAGGCTTACACAGGTGTTTTCTCTAAGAGTTATTTGTTTTTTGACACCTTCCTCCAGCAAGGACTGGAGAACTGTGTACAATTGCCCAGGAGCCAGCTGTCCCTCATTACTGATAATCCTAAACTTTCTTTTTTTCCTAGCCTTTGAGCACAATTGGTATCCTGAGCTCTGCTTCTACCACTTCCAACAGATCAAGAAATAAAACCCGCTATCGAACCAAAGCTGTGAGCTCTGAGGTGGATGAGAGTCTCTTCGGGGTTATCAAGGTAATCCTTACCAAGCCCCTTCAGTTTGCTGCTACCAGAAGTCACAGTGTTCAGGACAAAACTAGCCCTGGGCAAGTAGTCACTGTCTCACAGATGATCTAGGGGGCCTTGTGGAAACAGGGCATCTGGCTTCCTGCACCCTGAAACCTTCATGTCTGCACAGCATTAAAATCGGTTGCAATGTTGAAAGAGATGCTTATCTGGAGGGAGTGAGAGGGCCATGATGGAAACATTTGTGACTCTCTGGGACAATTGTGGACCCTCTGGTGGCATAGGTACATGGGTTGTTAACCAGAAGGTCACCTGTTCAAATCTACTTTCTGCGCTTCTCAAGAAAGATGGATTTCTCCTCCTGTTAAGATTTACAGCATCTGAAACCTGCTGGAGGTTGCCAGGAGATGGAACTGACTCAATGGTATTGGTATTTTTTTTTTAGGAATTGGGAATCTTAAGCCGTTCTATTGGTGGATTGGTTAAGTACTTGACCGTTAATAAAAACATTTGTGGGAGAAAGATGTGGCATCTGCTTTCATAAAGACCTGCAGCCTTGGAAACCGTTGCTTTACAAGGTTCTTACAAGGCTTTTTTGTCATACTTGATTCAAAGAGAGTGGTTTGACTTGGACCAATTTTGTAGACACTGAGTAACATTTCCCCCCTCCGCCTCCACGAATGTTGTTTTTATGTACTATCGAGTGAGAATTGACTCATAGGTGACCCTCCAGCAGGTTTTCAGAGGCAGTTAATCACATGGGAGGAGACTGCTCATCTTTCTCCTGTGGAGTAAGTTGGTGAATTTGCACCATGTGCCTCTGGGTTCGTCACCAAACTCCTTTGTACTTGTTCACCAGAGTTCCCTGCATTCACAAATTGCTTAAGGGTAAAACACTGAAGTACCCTCCTTTCCCACTTGCTCAAAATAGTAACTTAGCTTTGGAAGATTTATTTGCAAATGTTACAGAAATTAAGAGGGAGCACTGGTGGCCTTGTGGTAAGAATCAGTGCTGCAATTCTGAAGGAAAACAGTGGTTCAAGTCCACCAGCTGCTATTTACTGCCTCTGAAAACCTGCTGGAGGATCAGCTATTCATCAGTTCCGATTCGATGGTACACAACAACACAATAGAAATTAGAAGTCTGGCAACTCCTTTAGTTAGACAAAGAGAGTTAGGGAATAAGTTTTGGTCCCCATAAAAATCCACTGGTGATAGGAAGAGAGGGGAGGAGCGAAAGAGAATGTGACAGGGAGAGGTTGAGAGAAGGAGAAAAAAAATAAATGCCAAGGAAGACCAGACCCCTTTGGCAGTGAGATGGGGTTGGGGAGAGACGAGTTGGTGTTTAGCCCTGCTCCATACCGTTCTCTCTCTGAACTACAAAGGTCTTTCTAGAAGTCTCAAGATGATACTTTTTTTTTTTAATTGAGGAGACTCTCTTCTCCAGAGTTCCTAAACAATAAGGGAAAGAATTAAAAGAATGAAAGCAATTTCACTTGCAGACTTTTTTTTATTTGGGTCCATGGAAGTGTTCTAGTCAAAGCAGAGACAGATTTGAAAGTGATCAAGGTCCTCATGAGTAATCATATGAGCTACCAAAAGAGACAGTCAGCACAATGCCCCTTCCTGGTTCCGTTTCTTTGACCTTAAGTAGTGACAGTCAAGGAAGGCTGTCGGTCGGCAGTAGGGGGCAGAAGTGCCCTGTGGCATCAGGGCGTGATGCCCGCCTGACCAGGCATCGACCAGGCACCAGGTGGCAGCAGCACTCAGGGGAACTGGCTCTGGACCATGAGGTTCTCAGGACAAAATGGAACCTCCTTTGAGGCTGTCCCCGCGCTTCCACTCAGAGCATAGTTACAGCCTCAGTGACAAAACTCCCGCCAGTGTTTAACATTTCCTGAAATGGACCACTTGATTTTTTTTTCTTTTTAATAGCTTATGCCTTCACTTTTTCAAAAAATAAATAAAATGATGTATCTCTGGTGGCCTAGTGACAATTAGCTGCATTGCAATCCTGAAGGCATGTGGTTCCAGGCCACCAGCTGCTCTGTGGGAAAAGGATGGACAATCTCCTCCCATGCGATTAACTGCCTCTGAAAACCTGCTGGAGGTTCAGCTATGGGTCAGTTCCGACTCCATGGTAAACAACAACAACAACAACAATAATATCTAACTTATACTTTTCTTCTTCTGTTGTACATAAGGATTCTGAGGCTCCATCTAACTTACTTTGGACATGTTGTGAGGAGAGACCAGTCCTTAGAGAGGGACATCATGCTTGGGAGGGTGGAGGGACAGCGCAGGAGGGGAAGGCCCCCTATGAGGTGGATTGATTCAGTGACTGGGATAATTGGGATGGGAGTGTCAGAGACAGTGCGATTGGCACAGGACAGAGCGGAGTTTAGGGCTGTTGTACATAGGGTCGCTATGAGTCGCAGGCGACTCGACGGCACATAACAACAACAACATACTTTTCTTAAGGTAGCTCTGGTGACAAAGCCTGTAAGGAGTTGTACTGCTAACCCAAAGTCTGTTTCTCTGACTTGACAGCAGTGAGATTTTCTTCTTACTGAATTCCAAGTCATTGACTGCCCCATCAATCAACATTTTTTAGGATAGGTCTTCACTAGGCCATTTAACCATTTATAAAAATTCTCTCAATATAGCTTTTTTTATGGGTGGAGGGATGTCAACGTTAGTTAATTATTGTGTTGTTGTGGATTGCCGTCGAGTTGAGCACGACTCATAGCGACCCTATGAACAAAAGGCCTGAAGCCTTTCTATAACTATTGACATTTATCAAAGTTCATAGGGTTTCTGGTGGCGTGCTGTTTAGGAAGTGGATGCCACTCCTGCTTCCAAAGTTAATAATTAGAGAGGATTAAAAATTCTTAATGTAATAGATCAGTCTGTAAGAAATTTTGTTGCTTCAGATCCACAAAGGGATCTAAGCAAGAGGATAATGTTTTTGGTCGCAAATCATATAAGGAGGAGAATCTAGAGACCAAAAGTTTGGTTTTTCTTCCTCACAACATATATATTCGCAATCCTCCCTCTTCCTACTGCTCCAGTAGTAACTAACTGCACAAGTTACTGAGAGGTCTTGGTCTCAGAGGGTCCTGTCAATACAGAGTGTGTGGGCCTCGTGCAGATGAATACTGTGATGCTCTCTCAGGCCCTGGGCTACTCTTGACCATCTTGACATCTGGAGGGGACAGAAAAGAGGCCCCACCTCCTCTGTTTTCTAGAGAGGGTAGAAGTGCCAGGACAGATGTGAAGTGAGGAGACCAATTTCTAAGCTATCCTTGCACCTATAGCCCCCATCACAGCCCCGCAGCGACAGCCCCATTGTGGTGCTTCGAGACAACCATACCATTCAGAGAACTCTCACAGCACTGGGTGGGGACCGCAAGCCGGAGACCATCCAGCTCATCACTCAGGACATGGTTCGGGAGCTCATGTGAGTACTAGGGCAAGGCCTTGTCCTCCCTCGGGGCGCCAAGTGCTGAGGATCTGGGCTGGGAGATGGGCAGGTGGCTTGATTTCATTGTTAGCTCAACGCTTTGCCTGTTTTGTTTGTTGTCCTCTTTTATATTGCTTTTTATGTTTCTATCTTTTTTTTTTTTGTTGTTGGCTGTGGGTCCTTAGGAATCCCTGGTGGTACAAATGATTAACATGCTTGGCTGTTAACTGAAAGGTTGGAGGGTTAAGTCCAACTAGAGGCACCTCAGAAGAAAGGCCTGGTGATCTACTTCTGAAAAATTACCCAGGAGAAATCCTCTGTAGCACAGCTCTATTCAAAGGCAACTGGATTCATTCCTGGTGGGACCTAATAGGCCTAATGCTCTGTGGGTTCCCTCTGTTAGTTCACTTAATAAAGGGAAATGATTCAGATGAGTCAGCTCTTTTCTGCTGCATTAGGAAACTGAGGCAAAGGAAAGCTGATCAGATGCCTAATAGCCTCTGGCTTTTCTCCAGTTTTGAAGGGCAGGAGAAATTCACAAGGTTTCTTACAATTCCTTTGAGACAAGCCCAGCACACAACTTCTTATATTATCAAACAATATCAATATCACATGGAAACAAAACATTGCTGAAAATCATCCACAGATTTCTAGAACATTACATAGACAGGGAATCACCAGAACTCCAAGCTGGATTCAGAAGAGGTCATGACACCAGGGATATTATTGCTGATGTCAGATGCATCTAGGCTGAGAGCAGAGAATACCAGAAGAATGTCTATTTGTGCTTTATTGACTATGCATAGGCATTTGACTGTGTGGATCATAACCCTTAATTGTGATCATGCGAAACCTATACCTACACCAAGAAGCTGTTGTGTAAACAGAACAAAGGAACATGGAAAGGTTTAATATTAAGAAAGGAGTGAGTCAGGGTTGTAGCCTTTCCGCATACCTACTCAATTTGTATGCTGAGCAAATTAAATTTGAGAAGTTGGACTCTATGAAGAAGGATGTGGTATTAGGATTGGAGGGAAACTCATCAATAACCTTTGGTATGCAGATGGCATAACTTTGTTTGCTGAAAGTGAAGAGGACTTGAAACACTTGCTGGAGAAGATCAAACATACCGCCTTCAATATGGATTGCATCTCAAAAGTCAAGAAAACAAAATTCTCACCACTGGACCAACAGGCAACATAATGATAGATGGAGAAAAGATTGAATTTGCCAATGACTGCATCTTACTTGTTGTTGTTAGGTGCCATCAAGTCAAGTACAACTCATAGCTCTATCTTGCACCACCCTCACACTTCCTGACACACAAGAGCCCATTGCAGCAGTCACCATGTCAGTCTGCCTGGTTGAGGGTCTTCTTTTCCTTCACCGACCCTCCACCATCCCAGCATTATGTCCTTCTCCAAGGACTAGTCCCTCTTAGCAACATGCCCAAAGTATGTGTGGCAAAGTCTCATCATTCTTGCCTCCAAAGAGTACTCTGGATGCACCCTCTCCAAGACATATCTGTTTGTTCTCTTGGCCATCGATGGGATGTTCAGTGCTTTTCTTCAACACCACAGCTTAAAGGTGTAATTTCTTTTTCTGTCATCCTTATTCACTGTCTGGCTCTCAGATTCATAGCTACCAATCAGAAAGACTATGGCCTGCCATGCCTTAGTCCTCAAACTGACATTATTACTCCTCAATAATTTGGAGAGGTACCTAACTGCAGATTTTTCCAGCGCAATGATCTTCCGCAACAAGTGCTTCAATTCCTCCTCACTTTCAGCAAGTAAGGTTGTGTCATCTGCATAATACAGTCTATTGATGAGTCTCCCTCCAATCCTGATGCCACAGCCCTCTTCATAAGAGTCCAACTTCTAAGATAATTTGCTCAGCATATAGACTGAATAGATATGGAGAGAGAATACAACCCTGACACAGTCTCTTCTTAATTTTAAACCATGCACTGCTCCCCTGCTCTGTTTGCACAGCATCCTTGTGCACAGATGCCGCATGTGCACAATTAAGTGTTTTGGGATTCCCGTTCTTCTCAATGTCAGACACAATTTATGATCCATACAGTCAAGTTATTTTGCATAGTCAATAAAGCACAAATAAGCATTCTTCTGTTATTCCTTACTTTCAGCCAGGATCCATCTGACATCAGCAATGATATCCTTGGTGCTACGGCCTATTCTAAATTCTGCTTGAACTTCTGGCAGTTCCATATCTATATACCGTTCTAGTAATTTTTGATCCACAATAAAGACACTTTGCATCAGCAGTCAGGAGATCACCAGATGTATTACAGATGTATGTCTGCAATCAGATAACCTTTCCAAATTACTGAGGAACAGTGATGTTAGGACTGAGGTGCACTTGATCAAGACCATGGTCTTTTTTTTTTTTTTTTAAGACCATGGTCTTTTCAATCCTGGGTATGCATCTGAGTGCTGGACAATGAGTAAGGATGGCAGAAGAAAACCTGATGCCTTTGAACTGTGGTATGGAGTTGAGTGTTAAATATCCCATGGATCTCCAAGAGAACACAGATATATTTTGGAGAAGGCGAAGCCAGACTGCTCCTGGGAAGCAGTCTTGGAAGGATCTCACATACCTTGTGTATATTGCTAGGAGAAGCTATTCCTTGGGAAGGACATCGTGCTTGGAAAGGCGGAAGGGTAGCAAAGGAGGAGAGTACCCTCAACCAGGTCGATTGACACAGCACAGCAGTGGGCTTACGTGTGTCAGAGATTCTGAGGATAGCACAGGACAGGACAGGGTTCAGACCTGTTGTGCACAAAGGTGCGATGAGTCATTCTTAACTTGATAGCATCTAACAACAACAACTTTTGTGTAGTATGTTATGTGTTAGGCTGCTAATCCAAAGGCTATCAGTTCAAATCCACCAGGCAGTCCATAGGAGAAAGATGAAGCAGTCTCCTGTGAAGATTTACAGTCCCGGAAACACAATAGAGGTTTGCTATGAGTCTGTATTATCTTGATGGCAATGGGGTAGCTTCTTAACTGGAGATGTCCCTTTCTTGGGCCTTTTCTCTGGAATGTAGGCAGCATCAGATTACCCAAAAAGCAAAATGAACAATTAATCAAGTGTAGGGAACAATTTCACATTTTTTTTTTTGTGTGTGTGTGTGTGTGTGTGTGTGTGTGAGTATACCGTCAAATCAGATCTGACTGGTACAGGAGGAGATTGTCCCTCCTTCCCCGGCAGAGCATCTGGTGGATTCGAACCGTGCGCCTCTGGGATTGTAGTTGCAGTTCCTTGCCACTAGGCCACCAGAGCTCCCCTACAATTTCACATTTTTAAATTATTTATTTATGTGTTCGTTCGTTCATTCATTCATTCATTCCTTTTACTACATTAAAGAGTCTGCTTCCAGGTATGGCCAGGATTGGCTCTTTCCCAACCCCAAAACACCTTCCTATAGAAATAAAGCTTCCTAGTGAATGAATTTCAATTAAATGTTCAGTTCCTGACAGGGACTTAGTACCTGCTAAGCAATTGCATTGCTAACCTAAAGGGCGCACAGTTGGAATCCACCAGCTGCTCTGCAGGAGAAAGATGGACAATCCCCTTCCGTGCAATTTACCACCTCTGAAAACTCACTAGAGGATCAGCGATGGGTTGGTTCTGTCTCCACAGTATTCAGCAACAACAAATAGCTTTTAGGGAGCTCTGGTGACTTAGTGGTAAGGAGTTGTTCTGTTAACCCAAAGGCACACAGTTCGATTCCATCAACTGCTCTATGGAAGAATGATGGGCCGTCTCTTCCCGTGCAAGTTACTGCCTCCAAAAACCCACTGGAGGGTAAGCTGTGAGTTGGTTCCTCCTCGATGGTACATGGCAACAACAAGTAACCAGCCTGTAGTGCTCAGTTTCCTATGTGTTTATCATATTAAAGATGTGGTGAAACCCATTGAAATTGTTCACATTACTACAGAAAAGCAAGTAAACTCATGGAAGTCTGTGCTTCCCTTGCTTAACGGAAAACCAGCCCCAAGTCAAGCTCAGCCGTGTGAAGTGAGCCACACTGTCTGCTCAGTGCCGTAGCTCATGTACTAGTGCTTACGTCCCTGTGGCCATTCTCCCTCCCCTAGCTTCACCTCCTAGAAACGCAAATTCCCCCCAAATGCTGCCTTTTACCCCAACTGAGGAGGCACCTTGGGCTCTGGGAACTGGGCTGGGTTGTAGCCCCCGGTTGAGCACACTCTGGTCAGCCTGGCATCACACAGCCAGATATGGTCAGCGGCTACCCCTGGGGTCTGAGGAAAGGCTCCTTTGTGGAGAGGTAAAGTTCTAAATGGATCAGAGACGACATATCTGGTCATCATTCAGGCTGCTGAAAGCAGAACTAGTTGTTTTGGGTTTGTTTTTTCCCCCTGCCTCCAATTCAGAGCATTCTTTGTCATTCTAAATCCAAGGCTCTTTTGCTAAAGCCACAAGGTCTTTAATAATCTTCATATCCACTTGCTCATTCTGTCCACTGCCTAGAATGTACTCCTCACCCCCCTCCCCTCAGTTTTATTAGATGAAAATTTCACTTCCTGTCTCAGATTATCTGCGTCTTATTGCTGGTTACTTGTTAAATTGCCTCACCCAGTAGCAGCTTTACTCCACCCCTCCCACCAGTTACTCCCTCCCCCACTTTTAATGTATGTCATTTGTTTGTAATCATTATAATTAGCTATTGGTTTGTTGAATGCTTGGGCAGCTAGAAAGGAGAGGTCGATAGACACGTCTCCGACTGTTGTTGATCAGGGATTGTAATTAATATTTAGGGTTCAAAGCTTCTCTCTGAGCTGGACGGACAGGGCTGTTTCAGTTTCTCACTGGCATCCATTTCAACTTTGTCTGGCGTCCCTTTGCCCTTATGATGTTGTCCTTGAGAAGGAATCCGCTTTTCAAATTCAACTCAGCAGCTTTCTTTTCGGTTCTCACTCTGTGCAGAGCAGCGTGCCAGAGATTAGAACACCATGATGGTTAAGACGGTGCCCTGAAGGAGCTTGTAATCTAGCCAAGGAAACAAGTACTGCACCATTCACCAATGATACGGCCAGGAAGTGCAGTGAGCAGTAAGGGTGCAAAATAATTCAAACTTACTGCCCATGAGTTGATTCCTGTGGCATCCACTTCCTAAATAACATGCCTCCGGAAACCCTATGAACTTTGATAAATGTCTATAGTTATGGAGAGGGGCTTCAGGCCTTTTGTTCATAGGATCGCTATGAGTCGTGCTCGACTTGAAGGCAATCAGCACACACACACACACACACACACACACACACACTCATAGAGACCTTCCATTAGGTTTCCAAGGCTGTAAATGACTCTGGGAGGAGACAGTTCATCTTTACTTCACAGCAGCTGGTGCATTTAAACCTCTGGAGATGTTCAGCCTTTGAGTTAGCTGTGGTCTATGCCACCAGAGCTCCCGAGGACTCAGAGGAGCAGCTTATTTATTGGATCTGGGGGCAGGGGTCTCATATATATGGGAGAAGTCCACAGAGAAGGTATTGCATGACCTAGATCTTTAAAGTACCTAAAATGACTCTTTTTCACCTAGGATGCTGCCTCACCCTCATGTGGGACCCTTGTCCCCTGGTGGACACAGAGTACAGTTGGCAGTCTTTCTTGGCATTGCTGTTGCTATGGCTGAAGTGGAGGGTTGGCATTAAGGGAGGGGAGAGAAGCCTTAAGCCTGGTGCTGGGGGCTTGCCCTCTTTCTGTTTGACTTTCTCCATTCCTGTGTCAGTGTTCCCACACAGGATCCTTCTGGGGAATCCCTTATCATCAGTCCTGAGGAGTTTGAGAGGATCAAATGTGCATCCCGAGTCCTGACCAAGGAAGAAATCCAAGCCAAGGAGCAGGCCTTCAAGATGGAGAAAGAAGCTGCCCTAGTAGCTAACCTCCTTAGCCCTGATCTCTGCAGATGGGGGACAGAATAGGAATGTGCTGGGGAGGGGCCAGGACCCCACCTAGGAGACCTTGAAGCAGAGAGTGGATGTATATGTTGCAGAATGGAGGCCAGCAGACATATTTGATATGTGCGAGCAACTTGGGAGGTGGGAGTGGGATGAAGAATGAAGGACAGGGAGGTGAGAATGAAGCCAAGCTGCGAACCTTCTGCGTTTTGATAGAGTGATGGGATGAGGCAGAACTCATAAGGTCACCAGCAGCAGAGAGTCTAGTGCCCTGGGCACAGAGCACAGGGAATCACACCCCAGACTGATCTCTCATAGGATGCCCTGACAGCCCGCAAGATGATCATGAAGCAGAAGGAAACGATGTGCAAGAATAAGAAGCTCAATGACCTGGAGGAGGTGGCCAAGGAGAGGGCCCAGAACCTTCTGGAGAGAGCCAACAAGCTGCAGATGGAGCAGGAGGAAGAGCTGAAAGACATGAGCAAGGTGGGCATTTAGGCTTCTTCTCTCCCTCTGAGATTCCTTGCCACTCACTGTGCCCTCACTGCTTCTTCCTCCCTCTTATTCTCACACTGGATGACACTGACTCCAGCTCGAGGTGGGCAAGTAGGAATGAGAGGTGAAGGGCTGGCAGGTGAAAGAAAGCTGAACCTGCCACATCATTGCCATGATCAGGGGTTGGACCAGCGTTGCTACTCGCTAACTGTGTGACCTTGAACAAGTAATTTGCCCTCCCAGAATCTTAGTGTCTTCATTTATAAAGTGAGGATAGTAAGACTACTGTTGTTCGATGCCGTTGAGTCTACGATGACTCATCGTGTGATCTTGTGAACAACAAATCTCAACTCTGTCCTAGCCGCATCATCTCTGACGTACTTCAGTCGTTGCTGCAGTCATTGTTTGGCTCCAATTCATTGAGGGTTTTTCTCCCTTTTGTTGACTCACCACCTTTCCAAGCATGATGTCGCTTTCCCAGGAATAACCCCACTTAAAACCATGTCCAAAGTATGTGAGGTGAAGCTTTACCATGCTTGCCTCTAAGGAGCATTCTGGCTTCTTGTTGTTGTAATGTGCCATTGAGTCAGAACCAACCCATAGCTGACCCTCAGGCAGGCTTTCAGAGTCAGTAAATCACATAGGAGGAGGGGAGGAGCTTGCCCATCCTTCTCCCATGGAGCAGCTGGTGGAACCAAACCATGTACCTTTGGAATTGCACTGCAGCTCCTTACCACCAGACTAACAGAGCTCTCTGCTAAGTGAGGTGAAATAAGATACTAGATGGGAGGGGTTTAACAACAGTAGGTAAATATGTTATGAAGATACTACTTTTATTTGTATCCTACTCATTTAATTCTGGCCAAATGTAGTGGTTTAGGTAGTTCAATTTTTTATGAAGTACTCAAAGTACTGCCTTTAGCTGAGGGTCACTTGAATTCTGTTTTATAACCCCTATGCATGTGGTTCCTTTCCTGATCAAATGAAAAGTACTGACTTTCTACTCCTTTATCTTTGATTTCTATCTTTCCAGCAAAGTTTCTCTACTTATTGCCCCGTTTATGTCTTAGTTCTTAGTGATGGGCCCATGGTTTTTCATCTCCTCTAATATCATGTTTGGCTCTTCCAGTATAATGGTTTGGTGGTCTGGCTTCTGCAAGAGCGGTTTACTTTCCTTGAGGAGCAGAACAGGGTGTCTAAGCATGAGGTTCATGGATCCCTGAAGTGGAAGTGAACCTCTGAAATTGTGTATGTACATATATATAAGTGGATTGTATTGAGGACCAGGCCTGCTGCTTTCATCAGATTCCCAGAGGGTGATTGATGCATGACCCCGAAGAGATTAAAACTCAATGCCCTGTTAGATTCCTTTCTGGGCCTCTCCTGGCACAGACCCTAGTATCTCATAGGAGCTCAGTCAGTATTTGAGCTGAAATGTATTACAGGAAAGGGTCAGTGTATGCATGCTCTTGCTTCTTCCGGCTTATGATCAGCCCTGGGTGTTGTTAGCACACACAGTAGTACCCTGCTCCCATGTCTCCTCCTTTGAAATGCCACACTTCATATTGCATACCTCCCCAGTTCTAGGACCACAATTTAATCTCCACTCCGTGGCCCACTTGACCATCCTGACACCCTCATCTCCACTCCCCAGATCATCCTCAATGCCAAGTGCCATGCCATCCGGGATGCCCAAATCCTGGAGAAGCAGCAGATCCAAAGAGAACTGGAAACAGAGGAGAAGCGCCTGGATCAGATGATGGAGGTGGAACGGCAGAAGTTAATCCAAAGACAGGAGGAACTAGACAGGAAGAGGAGAGAGGAAAGAATTCGGTAAAGAGGCAGACTTGGCCTCTCCCTCCCTCTAAGTCGTTTCCGTGTGTCATGTAAGCTAAGTAGCAGAGAGGGAAGAGATGAGAAATGATTATAACCAATGTCTTTTATTAGCTCAAACCTTTACAAAGTGATTCATGGAATCACAGAACTTTTTAAAACTTAAAGGTTAACCTTTAGAGATTATTTCCAAGACCGTCACAAATGCTTTCCAATTCAGCCTCATTTTTCACTGTTTCCTGCAGTGCACTGCCCATTTTCCCCTGTCCGTCCAGCATGCCAAGCTTTGTCACAAGTTCATGGCTTTTGCTGTTTCTTCTGCTATGAAAGACCCTTCTCTTTCCTTTTTCTCCCTGGGAGGTGCTTCTTCCTTCACTGTGTAGCTTTACTGTCACGTCCTCTGAAATGCCCCTCACATCAGCAGAGTAGTGCTCCCTCTTCCGTTGTCTGTCGCGCTGTGTTTACGCTCTGCCACTTCTTGTGTTGCCACAAGCATCTCTTTACTTGTGGCTCTTTGGTCCTCACTAGGATGTCTTCATTTCTTTAGCAGCTACAGTGTTTGGACTGTCAAATTAAAATATTCAAACTCATCCTAGTCCAGTTGGAACCAGCTCATAGCTGAGTCTGCAGTGGGTTTTCAGAGGTGGTCAATCAAAGAGGAGGAGATTGCACATCTTTCTGATTCAGAGAGGCTAGTGGATTTGAACTGGGAGAGAGGCACCACCTTTGGGTTAGCAGCAAAACTTTCCGTGGATCATGTCACCATAGGTTCTTTGTTCAGCCTGTATGAGTGTCTAATAAATGCTGTGATGGATAGATTTCGCTCCATTTTGCAGAAAAGGGTAAGTCCCAGTATAGGGAAATGATAGACTCAGAGTGCTTTGAAATGTAGAACAGCGACCAATAAACATATGGGTTATCTTTTTTAAGAAGGCCTCTGAATGTCATTTCTCTCTTCCCAACTCAATTCTGTTCTCTTGTTGTTGTTTATTGCCATCCAGTTGAGCAAACTCACAGTGACCCTATGAGCAAAAAGCCTGAAGCCTTTCTATAACTATTGTCATTTCTCCAAGTTCATGGAGTTTCCGGAGGCATGCTGTTTAGGAAGTGGATGCCATTCCTGCTTCCAAACATGTCTTAAACTGGGAGCTCCACCAAACACTGTCCATCATGGGCAACAGTTATGACATTTGATACCCCAGTAGCACAAGGTTAAACATCACAGCAATCCCAGGTTATCTCAGTACAGCAAATTGACAGAAGAGTGCTGTACCACTTAGAAGAATGTTCATCTCTAATTCTGGTAGGTTTCTGAATAGATTTTCTCTCTCTCTCTCTCGTTGCCCTCAAGTCAGAACTGACTCATAGCTGACTCTCCAGTGGGTTTTCAGAGGCATGGGAAGTTACATGGGAAGAGATTGCCCATCTTTCTCGCATAATGGCAGCTGGTGGATTTGAACTGTGTGCCATTGGGTTGTCAGTGAAGCTCCTTACCAACTAGGCCACCCTAATAAATTATAATGGGCTTTTAATGTCAGTTTTAGTTGTTAACTATTTATCCATTTTCTGTTGCGCTGCTCCAATGATGGAAAAATCTTTGCCTCATTACTGCTCTAGACGGATCCTTAAATTGAGCCCAAACCTTCCATGTAACCTGTACGAACTATGGTTTATTTCATCTGGAGTCATGAATCCATTCAATGTGAATGTGAATCTCATTTTCCTGCCCTTTGATTTCTGTCCTACTGGATCTTCTCCCATCCTTCCAACCTTTCTTCATAGATTGTGGGATTTTACCTTCTCTGGACACTTGTAAGTTCATTCACCTTCCAATAACTCTTAGAGAATCACCATTACTCTAACTCTAGAACCCAGTTTCCCTGTTTTTTATGCTGTTTGCACTTTGCATGAGGGGATAGATGGAGAGACCCCCTCAGACTCACTCTCTGTCCACCAGCGGCTGACAGTCTGCAAACGTGAGATAGTCTGTTTGAGGGACAGTTACTAACCTAGGCAGGGGTGGAGAAGTAGCAGGAAAAGTTAAGCGTGGGTAATAACGTGGGTGGCAAACACACTGAAGGAATTAGAAGTCTTAGACTTTGTTGTTCTGTGATAGCAGGGCTAACTGTTGTCACTATGTGAAGATGTGGCAGATGGAGGGATTTCGGGAGCAAGAGGTTTTTTACATACTAGATGGGAGGTCTGGTGGTGAGTTGTGGCTCAGATCCACCTGTGGCTCCTGAGACAAAGGTGGGCAGTGTTCTGCCACAATTTACAGCCTCAGAAACTTGGTGGAAGGTCTCTGTTTTGGAACAGACTGCACAGCAATGAGTTTTCTGTTTATTAACATGCTGGAGGGACTCTGGTGGCATAATCTATGTCTGTTGGACTGCCAGCCACTAAAGGCTGGGTATCTCTGGGGGTCTTGAGCCTACCAGAAGTTCTCCAGGAGAAATTTGGACCGTTTCCTTCTATTAAGATTTACAGTCTCAGGAACCCAGTGGAGAATCACTTTGGGTCAGAACTGGCCTGAGGGCAGTGAGGTTTTTTCACATATTGTAGAGTCCCTGGGTTCCTCAAACAGTTACGTGCTTGGATACTAAGTAAGAGGTTGTTGGTTTAGAGGTACCGCAGAAGAAAAGCCTGATGATTTGCTTCAGATAGATCTCAGCTTGAACACGTTATGGAACAGTTACTACGTACAAATTGGCTACGTACTAGAAGAGAGAAGATGTGTCATAATGTGGGGTTAGACTTTTGGGAAAACAGATGAACAAAAAGAATTTCAGGAAGGCTGAGCCTAGAACCGAAGCTCAGAAGAGAGAGGTCAAGCCCGTAGGACATCCTGGGGAAGGACTTTGGTCTGGGCCCATGCAGCTCATCATGATGTTAGGAGCATTTGTCACATTATTTCCATAATGCATCCCTTCTTGGGAGATTGTGTGGGCAGATGTCTCTGTTCCCTCTTAGAGGAAGGCGGGACATTGTGGAACAGATGGAAAAGAACCAGGAGGAGCGGTCACTGCGTGCGGAGCAGCGGGAGCAGGAGAAGGAGCAGATGCTGGAGTATCTTGAGCAGCTCCAAGAGGAGGATATGCAGGTAACCGGGGGCTGGCGAATCCTGCTGAACTTTACAGCCGTGGTGGCAGTGCCCTCTGGCACTTAGGGGCTCCAGGGTGTGGCCTGATGCTCTGTCAGGCACATGCCCATTTCACAGCATCATCACTACCAGCTTTTTATTGCCACGTTAAACATTTATTTATTTGTCAGTGGCGCCATGCTGGAGGATGAGCAGTGATTTGAATAGATATTATCCCCGCCTCCCTGGAACTTGAGGTCCAAGACTGACATGTCAATGAAGATGAATACATAAAGGAAATGTATGGATGCATACTTTGCACAAATAAACATGGGGATGTTTTATAGTGTCTGTCTCTATTATCTAGACAGTTTGTACTCTGCAGATGAACAGTAGTGGTGCTTAGTTCCAGCTCCCTGCTGTTACCTCATTGTGTCATTAATTGTGTTGAGAAGCCAAACCTTTTTCTCCTGCTAGCCTAAATACAATTAGTAGGCATATCCATTGCAAAAGAAATTATTACATACCTGCCTAAACTAAATAGACTGAAAAACCCCCTCTGCTATTAGCCTTATTGGGTCTGTTGCAACATATAAAAGAAATCAGCATAATGTGCAAAACGGCAGGCACTTGGAATAGTTCTTTATATTTGCCCTCTCAGTTTTTCATTTTGAACCTTCTACATGCACAGAAAAGCTGAAAGAATCATACCACACCTGTAAACCCTTCGCCTAGATTTAATACTTGTTAAAAACTCTCCTTCCTTGCTTGTCTCTTTCTAGATGTATAAACATACGTTATTGTAATTATTTGAGTGTCAATGCAGACATCTTGACATTTCACCACTAAATGTTTCTGCCTGCATCTCCTAAACATAAGGGCATTCTTGTACAGGTCATCAGTGCCATTGACACCCTCCTGACCAGCAGGTCTAATCTGGTGATTCCATAATAACATTTAATAGTCAGGCTACATTCAGATTTCTTCTGTTTCCCCCCCTAATTGTATTTTCACTGTTCACTTTCCCTGGGAAACTGGGATCCAATCAAAGTTCACATCCTGCATTTTGTTAAGACTCTTTAAGTCTGTTTTGATCAAGAAGCAGGGGTAGATCATCCAACAAACAAGGTAAGCACAGCTTGTTTGTGCTTACTTACTAATTTCTAGTGAGCAGTTTCACCACATGATGTGAAAAACATGTGAAACGGTTGCTTACAAATTGGTAAGTAAAGCTGTCCTTAACTTGCTTACTGAGCATACACTGCCTCTGTGCCGGAGATTGTAAATTTTAGAAAAGGCTGTGAGTCTGTAGAAAGGTACTGTGGGACGGGGAGCGAGACAGATGGCAGCCATGTCTAAAAGCAGAATTGTTAATGTGGTGAAAAATGCTAAATTGTTCACTATAGGTTAGTAAGTAGGCACAAGCCACTCCAGCTTATCTTGTTTATTGGGTAATCGGATGTCATTTTGAAGAGATTAAATATGCATATGTATATGTGTGTATTTATACACACACACACACACACACACATATACACACACACACAGTTGTATAACTTATTTATTTTATATGACATTGACTTTTCTAAAACTGTTCAGGCTAATTACCTTAAAAATGTCACATATTTTGGGCTTGTCTCATTGTTTCCTCATTTACCTTGCCAGGGCATGGATTATTCCCCCTTCTCCTAATTTCATGGCTGATTGAGTTGTCATCAGCCAAAGCTTTTCATGACAGTGAGTGGCAGGGGGCCATTAAGGATCTCATTAGGGCAGACTTAGGAAGGCTTAGCAGCACACCTGTGATGTGAGGAGCTGGGGAGTTAGGGTCACCTGGATAGTGAGGACAGGAATGGGTCACAGAGCTTGTGAACTGCTTGAGAAGGTGACCAGCAGGGCCAAGGAGACAGAGTGGTCTGGTAAGGCTGATTCAGCTCCTGACTTAGGAGAGAGCAGATGAGTGGCAGCAGAGAGAGGTATAGGGCAAATAAGAAGGAAATAGAGCGAGAAATGAAGACTCAGCAACCCAGCCACATTTGGGGAGTGGGAATTAGTGGGCTCACTGTGACACGATTACATCCAAGCTGCGTCTTTGGCTTCCTGATGTCTGGTAGGCACCCCCCGAGACCCCAGGACATATTATTGACTAATTTTAAGGTAGGAACCTGTGCCTCCCCAGCTTGAGACTTGTCTTATGATCTCAGGCAGCACAAGGAGAGCTTTCTATCCCTTCTCTGCCTTGTTAGCAAGACGGAGAAGCGCTCAGGGAATTTATCAGGAGTTGTAGAATATCTTCAAAGATGAGAACCAGGAAAAGCCCTCTGGCTCCTTGGAAATGAAATGAACCAGCAAAAGCAAACTAACAAATGAATACATAGCCAAAGTAGTTAAGTAAATAAATTGTATGTGCCATAGCGGTCAGCAGCTTTAACTTGGAAGTTCTGTGGGACTAAATGATGCTTATGGTATGAAGGCAAAACTAAAGGTGGCAAGAAAAATTTAAAATTGGAAAAGGGAAGGAGAGAAGGGAGGGAATGAATATGAGAGTTGGAGCAGCAAAATGAGAGAAGATAAATGAAAGGTGGAATGTTCCTAGCTTGCCTCATGCCCCCAGCCTGCCTTCTTGTCTTTGTCTAAGGAGGAGGGAAACCCTCCCATCCACTAGCTAAGGAGCTTTTAGTTCAGGAAGCTCCCTGGAGGAAGGAACCCTGAACTAGGCAGTGAGCCAAGTCCAAGAGCCTGCCCAAGAGGAAGTTCTGCAGCACAGCTGCCTTGACTCAGGCATCTGGGCAGAAGCTGGGCTGAACACTAGATGGAAGGCCAGGCAGGCACTTGGTCTTTGGAGAAATTGTTATTGTTGTCAGGTGCCATCAAGTCGAATATGACCCATAGTGACCCTAGGAACAGCAGAGCTGGGCCATCCTGTGCCTTCCTCATCATCTCTGACACACTTGAGCCCATTGCTGCAGGGACTATGTCAGTCCATCTGGTTGAGGGTCTTCCTCTCCTTTGCTGACCCTCTGTCTTTCCAAGCATGATGTCCCCTTCCAAGGAATAGCCTCTCCTCGTAACTTGCCCAAAACATGTGGGATGAAGCCTCGCCATCCTTGCCTCCAAGGAGCATTCTGGCTGTGCTTTTTCTAAAGCATATGTTTGGTTTTTTTGCAGTTCATGGATAGGTAGATAATCTTCTGTAGTACCACAACACAAAGGCATAATTTCTGCCATCCTTATTTATTGTCCAGCTTTCAGATGCATAGCGAATGATTGAAAAGACCATGGCTTGTGTCAGGTGCACTTTACGTCTTCAAACTGATGTCATTGCTCCTCAGTAATTTGGAGAGGTCCCTGACAGCAGACTTGCCCAAAGCAATATATCTCTTGATCTCCTGACAGTGGATTCAAGTAAGATTGCTCCAGTTGTGAGGATTTTTATCTTCTTGATGTTGCAATGCAATTCATATTGAAGACTGTAGTCTTTGATAGTGACAGCTAGACACACTGTGGGAGGGATTGAGTTGGTAGATAACGTTTGAAGTGAGGAGTTAAATTTTGATATGTGAGTGATAGGCAAACCAACTACAAAGGGTTAGTTCATTGTCCCTCCACATTGTGACCTGAAAATATGATTTGGCTCGGGAGTGGTTGAACAACAGATTTTTTTTTTTTTGCCTAGTCTTTTTAATTTTTTTTCTTTCTATAATTATATT